CAAATTCTTTAAGGACCATAAACTAAACATTACCACCAATACTAACGCTGAAGTGATCAATTTCCTAGACAGTACATTTGACCTGAGTAAGGACTTGTATAAACCATACATTAATGATTCATACAACCACAAGTACGTCGACAGAAAATCTATACACCATAAAAGGATCCTTGACAATTATACAAATCATTACAATTTAGATTATTGACCAACTCCAGTAACAAAAAAAATATTTGACAATAATAAAGCTAGATATAATAAGGCACTATGACACTGCAACCATAAAGTGAAATTAGAGAATGTAAAAAGAAAAAAACACTAAAGATAAAAATATGCTAAAACAACACAAATGTAACATAATATGGTTTAACCTGCCTTACAATACTAATGTCAAAACTAACATAGGTAAAATTTTCCTAAATTTAATTCTCAAGCACTTTAGTCATTCTCCAACACTAAAAAAGATTTTCAACAAAAATATTAAGGTAAGCAATAGCTGTACAAAAAAAAAAAAACATTGATAATTATATATCCCAACATCTTAGCCTTGTATTATATTAAATCCAGAATCTTTTTATGCCAAAGTCTGTTAAACTGAGGTTTGACTGTTTCTATTTTCACAAATCTTACTGTTGCTGATTACCAAAGAACAAGGAAAGGTTTTTAATAAATCATCAATTGATGGTCAACATGCTCTTATATGGCAGGTACTTTTAAGATGTACTAGCTATTTTATTTACTTATTTTTTTTTTTATGTTTGTAATGACTCAATATTTTTACCACTTGAAAAACTTTGGTATATTTCTATCTTTTAGATTTGTAACAGTCAATCTATTAACTGGATAACTTCCATTTAATTAATGCATTCACTCGTAAATATCATTAAAATTAATACTGACTACAGAATCATTAAAAATAAGTCTGCTATTGCTGAAAACGGTAATCAAAATTGTAAGTGTCTTCATGGCTTCAAATAGTCATCCAGTCAATATTCTAATAAGGAGGTGGCATAATGGATAGCGGCTTGGATTGAGGAATCTGAGAGCTGAATTTGAATTCCAGTTGAATCCATTACATTCACTTATGTGCTAATACCCTTGGGAAATGTATTAATCCTCTTTTTGTCCCCCCAGCTATGGATAAATAGCAGGACAGACTGGATTCTGTAGCCTTGGATGGCAACTGGTCTATTGCAGAAAGAAATGGCAACCTACTGCGGGGAAAAAATATGCCTCGTCAGTCATGTATCAAGATACATAATTGCCTAAGCATGTATCACACATGGAACATAACTGACTCTTGTGAGGCAATGAAGGTAAAAAAATTGAAGCAAAAAAATTGAGAGTGATTGGTATTATAGAAACTACATTAAAAATAAAGCCTCTGGCATGAACTTAATGTGTAAATAAAAAAGTAACTTTAATAATCAAAATGGCCTTGTACCTTTTACTTGTGTAAGTATATGTATTAATCTGATGTTTGTAAAAATAATACATTTTTTTTTTTTTTTTTTTTTTTTAATATAAAATAATTACCAAAGGTTAAATGTATCAAATTTCTTGATTTCTAAAGTGATAAATGTTTTAATTGGGTTAACCATCATCTTTACTGCCAAATATGGGTCAATCATGTTTCTGTGGCCATTATTCTCGGTGCTTTCAATCTAAGTTCAAATGCACAGCCAATGTCCAGCTGTTAGCATTTTACAGAAAATGCCAATGTGTTAATCTAAAAAAAGACTAAATTAAAAATGCTTGTCTCCAACCAATCTAAGTGAATTCAACCAGTAAGATGCAGTAAAGACTGACACGTCAGCTTTTGGGGATCTGATAGACTTGTTAACCCACCTGCTATTTAAATATTTTCTATTTTTTTCTCTTGTTTTTTTTTATTGCCAACTATTGTCGATTTCTGTAAATAGTAATTGATAGCATGAAATATTTTCTTCATTTATTTATTTATTTTTTTTTTCACAAGGACTTTTGGTTACTCAAAGCCAAACAAAATGCCTTCAGATAGATAACTTACTTTATAGCTATTCAATGGGTTGCTCTCAATTCCAAGTAAGAAAGTTAATAAAATAAATTATTTACATAGTATATTTTTACCAAACTAAAGTTAGTATTACAATTAATAATAATATATTATTTCACAATAAACTACATCTGGCATCAAGGCCTCTGATTGGGAGAGTGGAAGTTTTGAGAAGCATGGAACCACCTCTTAATTGTTGTTCCCAGATCCACCCTGACCTGGGGGTGTTAGCATCCTTTTAGGGTCCCAGCTATGGACTTTTATTAACAGCTCGTCAATTTTATTCTGTCAAGTGATGGGCATGGAGTTACCAAACCGACCTGAAGTTATCTGTAGCACTTGGACTAATGCAGGATGTGTATAGAGATGAGATGACGATGTGCTTTTGGGATTTTGGGTGGTACAAGAACTTTAAAGAGGGATGCAAGGACATGGAAGACGAATCCAGGAGTGGATGGCCTTAAAAGTGCATGAGGCAGGTGTGATGCATAGAGATAATTGGCTGATTGTTTAACTGATCACAAGTGAGCTGGGCTTGAACTGCAACAGCATCTAGAAGATTATTACCAAAGATTTGGGCATGTAGAAGATTTGCATAAAGATGGTACCGAAGCATCTGAACAATGACCAGGCAGAGTGGTGCATGCAGATGTGTCGGACATCCTCAAGTGTCTTGAAACTTGAGCCAGACTGACTATGGAGGCATCACCAGTGATGAATTGTGGACCTTTGTGTCTGACCCAGAGACCAAGCATCAAGGCATTCAGTGGAAGAGTCTAGAGTCACTGAGTCGAAATTAAAAATCAAACTCATGTTGACTGTGTTCTATGTGAGAAGCATTGTCCACATACGAGGCTAGACCATCAACCTGCATGTCTACAAAGAGATCTTGTGGCATTTGCTTTGTTCAGTGAGTGAGAAGAGGTGAGAGATATGGCAGATTGGCTTATGACTGCTTAACCATGACAATGCACTAGTCACAATGCACTGAGCATCTGGCATTTTCTTGCTGAGAACATCATCATCGCACTGGAGCAACCTCCCTACTCATCCAACCTGTCTCCATATGATTTTTTTCCCTTCTTCCCAAGGTTAAGGGGGTGCATCAAGGGTACCCCTTTTCTTGATGTGGAAGCAATTTGGAGGTCTGTGATGATAGAGCTATGGAGAATCCTGGGAGATTCCTTCCAGGAATGCATGGAAACATGTCGGGGAAGGATGGGAAAATGTATTAGACTCAATGGGGATAACTTCAGAGAGGAAAACCTGTAGTTTGAACTTGGCATAATTTTTTTTTTGACTTCAGTCCTGTTTCTTTTCTGACACACCTTGTAGTTTAGCAGACCATTATAGAATTTTCGTCTTATTTTTAGTAATTTATTTTAATTACAACATAATATTATACCAATGATACAAATAATAATGAAGATTAATAAAAATTTTGAATTTAATCTTCAATAAAATGTTGTTATTCTCAGCATGTTTCCCAAGTAAAAACTTAAAATATGTATTTAAAATGATTTATAGGGAAAATCTCACCATAACATGAAAGTAATATTCATAGCATGAATGTTGATTGCTTAGTCAAGAATTCAAACAGTTTAATATTTAACTAATGCCTTGGAATCCTTAATCAGGTATGACCTGCTGTTTGCTATTTATGAACTTGTATCAAATATAATTGTTATGACTAAATGACTGTTCCTTGATAAATAAAAGGTCTGCCTATGATTTTGATTGTTGATTAGGGTTATGAAGTTTTTGTAACCCTATGTTCCTGTGTTATAAATTGATGAACTTTTGTTCAAAAGTAATGAAAAGACATTAATTTGTTTTAGTTCTTGAAAAAGGTCCCCCCTCTCAAATTTGATTTTTACCATATACACAATAAAATAAAAATATTCCAGAAGTTTAATTTTTCAATTTGTTAATGATTCAATTGGATAGTTTTTATGTACTTTTTAACGCATTTAACAGTTTATGGCATACAAATACACAAAAACAAGTTTTAGAAGGTTCTAGAAAGTCATAGTACTACTATACTTATACACAATTTTGGAAATTTTTCTGTTGGGGGTGATATTTAAAAAAAAAAAAAAAAAAGAATTGAAACCTTCCTTATTTTTTAACAAAAGTTCATCGAATTATGATAATTCAATTATTTTATGAATAGTCAAAAAGTCATGACCCTATTGTTGATACAACTTTTTTACAAAAGTATTTTGGGAATACCAAAAGTTGTGTTGCTAAATAAAAATACCAGTTTCTGCATCTTTACATTCTGTAACACACAACTGAGACAGGTTTTGAGTCATAGAGCAAAACTTGATTGTTAAAATTCTTTGAGATCATTGAATTTGATCTTTGAGGGGTAAAGTCGCTTCCAAATACATATTGGGTTATATTGTTTATTTACTTGGTCATTTGTCTTTTAGTATTCATCTTGGCTCCCTTTTTAGGAACATTATTACTTTTTTTATTTTTTTATTTTTTTTTTTATTAATTCCACTGCATTTTAAAAGGATTATTATTTTATTCACTACAGCAAGTATTGTCAATTGAATGTCCATTACTGACAAGGTGTAGAATCAACTTGTATTTATAGACCTATAATACTTTTAGTAGCATACCTTTACTGCTGGTGGATGAGAATTTTACATCTTGACCATAGAAATTTATTTTATTATTATTATTATTTAAAAAAAAAAAAAAATTTATTGTATGGTTTGTTTCTCTTTCTCTCTCTGACCCTCCCTTCCCAATTCATGTTTGTGGCGTGCTCTGTGACAGCAGCTAGACAAACACACATCCCACACCAGATGTTGCCTTTGGTTCATCCTCCTTCTCCTCCTACTTTCAGCATGTGAAAATTTCGTGATAACGTTTTGACCTTGTCCTTCTTTACTTACTGCCTCATTCAGTCAGAACTTTCTCTTTCTAATTCTCTTTCTCGCTGTCATTACAGATACCTCTGGGGCTATTGTTTTTGATAGCCGTACAAAGGCAGTCATGGCTCAGGTGGGCCAGGATAATGTCAAAGAAAAGGTAAGAAAACTTTTCTTGTGGGTGTCATTTTTCTTTTTCTTAGTATTTTTATTTATTTTGGCGAAAAATCTTTGGATTTTAGTGTCAAGTTTAAAAACTTTCTGTAAAGTTGTAAAAAAAAAAAAAAAAAATTTTTTTTCTTGTCTTCTATATTTTAAAAAGTTGTCAAACTTTTTTCTTCGAATGTGAAATTTTTTTGTTTTGTTTTTGCTTTTCTTTTTCCTAAATAGTTGATTTTTGATTTGACTTTGTCCCAGTAGGTTTCATTATAAATATTATAAAATCTTTGAAATTTGAAGCCTTCAGTAAAAGAATTGGAGTTAACATTACTCACTCAGAGATGGGTTACCGTTAATAATATCAATATTCAATAGTGTTAATTTTTTTAACTATGAAAGAAATAACCATTAATTTTCTTTTTTTTTTTTTTTTTTTTTCATTTTAAGGAAAGATTTTGTTGGAGTTCTTAAAGTTCTAAATATATATTTTTTTTATAATTCTGTTTTTTACATAAGAGAGCTGTATTTGTTAATGATTTTGTTTTTTTAAAAAAAAAAAAAAAATTGTCCCACCCTGTCATATCATGATACATAGCTTGATCAACATGGTTTAGTATTCTATATACTTCTAGTGTGATATAATATCTACATTAAAAAAATTTTGACCAATTTTCATTTCTCTGACAGAAAATGGCATTAAGATATACTTTGGAGAAACTTATTGATCTCTCCTTAATATTTGAAAATATATATATTTTTTATTTTTATTTTTTTTAAATCAATTCACCCCAAGCAAGGCAATGATGCCTCTAAGAGGCAAGGGGCTACTGGGAGTGAAAGAGAATGAGAAGACTTTAGAAGGAACAAGGACATCCAATCCTAAATGGGGAAACAAGAGTAAAACCTCTAGTCCTGTTCAAACGGCCAGGGAGGTGTGTGAACCGGACAATAGGTGAACCTATCTACACCTAATGCTATAAATCAAGTGGGGATTTAATAACTGAAATAACTGTGGCAGGTCTTTTTTTAACCTCTTTGAGAATAGATTTTGTTTTAAAATTCTCATTGAATTGGATTTTGATTTTCATTTACTGTATTCTGAATTTTGAGCCTTCAAACTTGTATTTAATTCAGCATTTTCCCAACAAGTGATTGGAAACACAGCTCATGGTAATAATTACAACCAATGGTGTCGGAATGTGGTCTTGTATGTAACTGCTTTACTTGAATTGATTTTAGCACCAACATCCCATCCCAAGACTAAAGTTGTTTTCATACTGGCCTTTAGGTATTTAAAACCAGATACATAAACAGGGTATACAGCCAACCTGAAATAGTCCCCCTCTCTCTGTTTTTTTATTATTTTTTTTTATTATTATTATTTATTTTTTTTGTTATTATTATTATTATTATTATTAATTTTTTTATAGAAAAATCAGGGAATTTTGGTGTTAATATCAAGAATTTTCTTATCCAACTTGACAGGAATCAAATAACATGTTGCATTTTTTCCCCTTTTTCTTATTTTTTTTATTGTAAATAGCAAATGTTGTTAATGTGAATGTACATATTGGTTTTCTAGGATTAGTCAAATTTCAATAAAGATGCAGGTTTCTTTGTCCATTCATTTTTTTTAGCAGTGTTCTGGAACTGCTATATACTTACTACTGTCTGTTAGACAATGTCCCAGAATCAAAGAATTTCAGTGAAATTTTTCAGGGAAGTTGAGGAATTTTATTCAATGATTAATCTAGAAACCCTGATGAAGTATAATCAGTTGTTGTTCCTAGGAATTCTAGCTTTTATTTTTAATACTGTCTCTGGTTCTTCTACGGAAGCTTTGATTTGTATTTTATGTCAATACAAGCCTAAAAATGTGCAAATTGTGGGTGTGTGGGTTAGACAAAATATATTGTTATGAATGTAAAGTTACTTTGTGATTGTAATGATCTATACTTATTGTTTCTTTATTGAAAATATACTTTAGGCTTTAAAGAAATATATTTGACTACCAAATAAATGTGGGTAGATGAAAACTATATTGAAAAGTGTTTGGTATTTATGGAAGTAGGTTAACTTTTGATTGTTGAATAGCTCGTTATAATCAGGGATCATTTTCAAGTAATTGATTTGTTGAAAATGTTTCTGATTTAATCATTAGATGGTATTAGGAGTGTAACGTCATTCAAAAAAAAAATAAAATAATCACCTTTGATTATAAAGTAACACCTGCACATTTTTTTTTTCTCAAAATTGGCAGGTCACTGAAGATAAAAAGGCATTTTCAGCAGATTATGCTAAGTGAATATGTGACTTGGAAATAATGGAGGAGATACTTTGAAGGATTGAATGTATCTTTGTGTGTGTTTGGTGTGGGGGCCATTATTCTCTTTGTTAATGATAGTGCTTCATGTTTGAGTAGGCCAATTAAAATTGATAACAATCAAATGAAGTTATTATTGGTAATAAACAACCTTATACAACATAAGAAATAGCCAGCATGCTAAAAATATTCAAATCAAGCATTTCAAATCATTTGCACCAATTTGATTGTTAGTTGCTTTACTTTCATTTCAATTGCAATGAAAAGTGGATAGTTTAGTACAACATAGAACATTTAAGGAATGACCAATTGGAGTTGTGCCAAAGACCAATCTTCTAAAAATGTGAAGCTATTTTTATGAGATCTTTACTATAGTCTACTTTGAGAGACTCAAATGATTGATTCAAACTGGCAGTTAGACCAGTTGAAGGCAGCAATTGACAAAGGAAGAAAAAAACATAATATTCTAGAAGCTTAATACTAAATTACATGTTTCTTTGGCAACAAGATAAAATTGCCCCATTTTGACTTAGAACTTTTTACTCCTCTTCATTTCAGATATTGTATCTCTTGAATTACTATTTGTTCTGGTCTTTACCAAATTCTCTTAGTGAAAAAACTGCAGTTCTCTTGAACACTGAAAAACATATCTCGAGCTGTGTGTTTGTGTTTTTTAAAAATTGGGTGCAGAATAGCAAAAGCTTGTCTAACAGCAAATATGTTGTTCAATAAAGTTAATGTCAAAAGTCAAAAATAGTTTTACTTTTATTTAATAAAGTAAACTCTTGGCTCCAAGATAATAGATGACACTTTTAGTGTTGACATTCTTTGACAATATAAAAAAACACTGATTCCAAATCAATTTTCTATAATTAAACATTAGTTTTGTGTGCACACAAAAACAAAAATATGACTTTTGTAAGGGTAAATTTTTGAATAAAAATCTGTGAGTGTTTAACTTTTATGATGTGACATTTGCTAGTTCAAGATTTATTTAAAAAAAAAAATTATCTGAAAAAAGTTTCTTTTAATGTGGATTAAATAAGATTTTTATTGTCAAAAGAACAATCTGAACAGAGAAAACTGATTGTGAACAGTTACATTTTTATATATATATATATATATATATATATATATACACACACACACATATATATATATATATATATATATAAAACATTTTTTTTTTTTTTTAAATTATTTAAAAATTGCTGGGAATTTTTTTATGTTGAGTGGTTTTTATTATAAAATCTTGTCTAGAATTCTCTCAGGAATTTTGTCTCGATGGTTTTAATGAAAACTGGTTTCATTTGTGGGATTTCTGAATCTGTTGTCAACATTAACCTATAGTACTAATATTAATCATCTCTTTATATTATATATATATATATATATATATACATGAAGCCTTTTATTCAAATTTTCTTGCATTTATACGAGTATTTTCTTTTCTGGTCATAAAGTGTATCAAAATTGGATATGTCGAACATGTGGACAATTTTTTCACTCTTTATGTCCAGAAAAGAAAATACTTGTATAAATGCAGAAAAAATTGAAAAAAGTTTAATCACAGTACCTTGTCAGTTGTCTTTAATAAAACTTGCATAAAAGGGGCATTGCTGCCCAAATACACAAACATATATCTCGGTGGCAGCTTTCTTGTATCCAAGAATTTAATTTCTTCTTTGCTGATCACTTCCTTTATGATGATGTTGATGACTACATTCACTGCCGACATGCAGGTTCAGGACTAGAAGCTTCCAGTTTCACCAAATCCTGCTCCTGTCATCCATTTCCTATCAGCATTTGGCTTTGTAAGAGTTGGCTGAGGGTGAAAATCAGAAGAAGAAAGTGCTGATCGCATGAATTTAAGATTGACCTTAACTTTCCAGGAAGTGACCCTCACTCTTGGTTTCATGACCTTCCTCTGTAGCACATATGGAATGAGACATGCAGAATCCAGTTACGAAACTGCAACAGACTGCCACTGACTCTGTTATAATTTCGAGTGGTGCCTTCTGTAACATGCCAGTCATGTGTAGCCCTCTTCATTCTCTGGTTCAACCGTTAAGACATGTTGTAATCATCAGCCGCTTGTTCTACTGTTTGGGGCCTTTGGGGTTAGTTATATATATATATATATATATATATATATAGGTATTTTTTATAGAAAACATTAAAGTTTCTCTTTCTCTCTGCTCTATGATGATAGCCTAGGGGTAGGATCTTTGACTGATGCCAAATTGGTTGGGTTTTGATCCTGCTCTGGAGCCATTGGATGTCTAGCCACACTGAAGAGCTGTGATACAGCAGAACAGTCTGTGGATGACACACACACACACACACACACATATATATTGAAAAGTTCTCAGTCTGCTTAAGCCTGAATCTCTACAAAAACAAAGAAAAAATTAAATTGATATTTGGTCAACTGTAGAGCTGTTACCTCAGAATGGCATTTTTAATTATTTAAGAATCAAAAATAAGGTAAAACAAAAATTGATTTGTCTGAGGTGGTTGGATTATAAGTCCTCAGACCCTAACAAGAAATCCTTCCAAAACATCTGTTCAAATTTCAGGAAGTAGGTTGGCCTGAAAATATTTCAGCCCCCACTTCATACTTGCTAGTCTGACTATAGTAAGATAAAATTTTGGTATCTTTAGTGCCAGGCTTATGA